AGAGAGAGAGAGAGAGAGTTGAGGTATGCAGCACTAGATACAGCATCAGTGACAGGAGCATGTTTGGGCATCAGATAAAGCTATTTTAGGAATAAACTGTCAATGAATCTCAAAAGACATGCCAACAGCGATGATCAGAGAAGACCTACATTACGATTTAGACTGCCTGAGATGTAAGATAGGATTGGTTTTGTACTTTTTAAGATGGGAGTGTGAGCCGTCCACACGCCTTAGTTATTTTTCGCTGAGTAAAGCAATGAGAGAGTAGGGAGGGAAAGGCAGTGAAGGCCAGTCGAGCTCAGTGGAGACATACATGTGGTTTCAGTTGTCCAGGACGGATCAAAGAGATTCCCTATCGATTACTCCCGTAGCCTTGAATTCTGCTTAAAGAAAAGTGTGTACTCTGCTGAACTGCCTGCAACACCAACAGAAAGAAGAGTTTGATCTGCAATTTTGCCTCATCAAGCTGGATTCTGTGTCTTGGTCAGAGGTGTGGGTCGTCAGGTGGAGGGGTAGAAAGGCGAGAGGTTATTGGATTAGCTACAGCACAGTCAATAACATAAACAATAAGAGAGAAACCTGACTGCTCTCGCCATTTAATCAACGCCGGTTCGGCTTTTGGAAGATGGCTCCGCTATCTTTTATAGTGCAAAAAAGATTTACTGTCTCATAACTTCCCTCACAGCGAGGGGTCTGTGCCTCTAACTTTGCACACCCGTAGCTCGCTGCAAATGTCAACATTCATTGGCAGAAAGTCTGAATTAAACCTCGAGACAGAAACATAATAACCGGTTGTTTTAAACAGATATTAGCTCAGTATTTACGTCATTGTCTGTGTTAAAGTTAACAAAGCCAACACATGTGGCTCATTCATATTTATGTAGCCCAGAAATATAACGAACGGGTCTTTAAATCCTAAAGTCAGTCCAACAGGTGCTCGTAATCCTGAAACATAGCAAGCGAGCTAAACAACGTAGCTATAGTGGCTACTCCTCTGTTGTTTTACTGTTTTATACGATTGCTTGCTGAAACTTTTGCAATTACATAAAACTGACAAAAGGAAACATGTCAGTAAAACTGTAAGGATGTATTGTGGGCTACTGTAATGTATTATCCCTCTTTATGTTTGGCACTGTGGTGTTGCTGTAGTGAATGCTCCCTCATATTTAAGGTTTTGATATACACGTCAGAGAGCAGAGTAGGAGTGTAAGACAAAAAAGATACACAAGTATCTTAATATTTATTTTTCTGATATTGTATTGATTCTCAGAAACATATATTTTTGTGTTTAAACCCCCGACCGCAAGATAGCAGAGTTGTGAACATAAACTGAGGGCTATGATGTTGGATGTTATAGGAACTGTGATAAATACAAAGATCCCGCTGTTCTGGTTGCATAAAAAAGGAAACTTTTCTTTTTTTGCATACTGTATGGTGGTGTGTTCCTTATGACAATTTTTTTTTTTAAATCATTGAATCGTAGCTCCTGCATTGTGGTACATATTGTATACACAGCCGTACAGTAGAGCAGAGTATCGTCATGGCTGAACAGAAGTCTGACAGGTTTGTTAGGCTGTATCCCTCGTAACTAATTGCGCCACCCTGCACACAACATCTGCAGCGTGCTTGTTCACTAAGGACATGTAGAGCTTCTATCTCTTCTATCTCTCCACATTCAAATCCCAGCATTTTATACAAAACACTCCTTTTTTCTGGACTATCAAAGTGGGTGAGAGGGGACAAGTGTACCTCTACTTAGTCTGCAAAAATACGGGACTATCCAAGGTGGTGATTGGTTTGTATTTGTCAAAGATACAGACAGGATGCAGAAGATTACAAATACATTTTATTTTGATATGATATAATCTACAGATCTGTATAGAGATCCATATTTGTGTATACCATCGGCTCTTTCCAGATACAGGTCCATTTTGTTCAGTGGTACTATTTAAAAAATCTCTGTTAGTCTCAGCTATGAACTTATGCTCAGTACAACCCAAACAACAAACAAATAACACTGAGTAAATGAAACAGATATTGGTAACTGTGGCCAAAAGCACCACTATAATATAAGTGTGTTGAGATAAATTGGTAGGGGTGTGTGAAGAAGTGGGTGTTCCAACAGTCTGCCTGTGATTGGCTGGCTGTGTTTAGACTTTAGGTTTGGGATTGGTTAAGCTCAGGGTGTGTGTCTGCAGACACGCCCCTTACCCCAACCCACCCTAAACTGCAGTTACTTCTGTCTCAAATTAAACTCCTCTACAGCATCCTCTATCGCACATCTCCAGGCTGATTGCTGGCCAGGACTTCTGATCGGCCGTAGCTCATTCCCCGGCTACCCTGACATCACTGCACCCACCCAGTGAAAAGTGTCAGTGTAGCATGAGACTGAGCTACAACTGGAGGGGGGTTCCTGGCCAATGTAGGCATTTTGCAGAGTGGGTTATATTGTAATACTGAAAGTTTGTGTTTTAGATGCACTAAGCACACAAGTAGACACATGAAGCTGCATTTATACTGCAATGAGAGTTATAATGTTTGAATATCGGCTTCCTGCTGTTAAACTAGATCTCCATCTACTTCACCACAGCAGAATTGTCTAAATAAATGGACTACAAACATTTTCATGAAGCATTAAAGGCTGCTAGGTTTAAATAATTATTAAAAGAAATGACACACCTTTGGTTTGAGTCTTCCTTTAACCTCAATAATATTTCTTGGGCGTGAATTTTACACTTCTGTGATTGGTTTTAGCAGATGAACCCGGTCAGTCATGTCAATAGTAACAAACATTAGTGCTCTCATGACGCTGTGGACATTCAGAAGCTACTGGTTACCACAGCGCATCTATAGCGTTACCACACACTCTGCAGTGTCTAATTAGGTTGTGCTTTGTATCTCTGGCTTTGTGTGTGTGTGCATGTGTGTGTGTGCACGCAGTGTGAATCAGCTCATAAGTGGGTATCTCCTCTCCTGAGCTTATCCCTGCCTGGAAAATGTGTTTTAGACTGAAGCCTGATTGCAACAGCACTGTCATAAATAAATGATTTGATAATTTTAGCATGTCACGGAGGTAAAAATAGAACATCACGCTGTTAGCTCGAATGCTGGATGAACCCTTTGTTAAGACATCTGAGTTCCTATTAGGATTTAACACCTTATAAACCCTGGTGCTTTGCATGGAAATGATGCATTTGAAGAACTTGTAAAATTAGTCTTCGTGTGATCACATTGTTTCATAGGTTGTTTTTTTTCCTCGCACTCACATAGCAAAGATGATGTTTTACGTTGGCGCTCCTAAAGCTTGTATTGGAGAAATGTGTGACACTTGCACAGTTAACATCTTATTCCTCTCTCTTTTGTGCAGCAGGGGATATTGGCACTTCCTGTCTGTCTACACTCGGGTTTACCACAGGACAAGAAGATGCTTTCACACTGTAGTAGATGGCACCAGTTGTAGTTGCATTATCTTAAAAGCAGTTTAAGTTAAAATACTGGAAACACAGATGGAGTGGATCATAGAGACAATTTGCCAAAAAGTCGGTGTTCTTTAAAGTAATCGAGTTAAACACAAGAGACCTGCCGGCTTTTAGTAAATTGAATAATATACAATATACATAAATCACACCGCGTAAGAGCTCGTTCGTGTGTTATCTGAGCTGATTCTTCTTCTTTGGTAGGAAAAGAGGTCATTTCAAGTCTTTTTTTCTCCCTGTCGGAGAGAAATGAAGGTGGGAAATGTGAGAAAGAAAAGAACAAAAGTGCACAACCCTCATTTTAAGACTACAGTCCCAGGTCTTCTTGTGTCATGTTCAGATTGTGCGTTTATAAAAGCCGTTCTGGTGACAGTAAGTTGAACAGAGTTTCTCTACGGACTTGTCCAGCTGCTGCACACACTTTTAGACACTTCTCAATGAAATTTCTCATTCAAAAACCAGGAAATGCTACGGGAGTTTCTGTTGTAGAAAGAAAACCACCACAATTTAAGATATCCATGGTGGGAACTTGCAACAAGTTGAGAGATTTTTAGTGTTACCACCACCGACAGACCTTCACTGCAGTCAACGCCGGCACTGACAGGATTTGTTTCATAATTTCTGATATAAAACAGCAACAGATTTGACATAAAATATGAGCTGTAGGCAACTATACAAAGTTAGGAAAGGAGGCTACCTCAAGGAAAGGTTGCTGTCCCTGATTTCCATTAGATGCTCTGCTTAGCTATCTCTCTGACACACACACACACA